TTAATGAGCTATGGCATCATTTTCTGGGGAAATTCATCTAGTAGTTACACTATTTTTCTCCTTCAGAAAAAGGCAATTAGAACAATGATGGGATGTAGCAATAGAGTATCGTGTAGAAATATATTCAAAGAATTAGATATCTTACCGTTGGCATCACAATATATATTTTCTTTATTATTGTTTGTATTACAAAACAAAACTCTTTTTCCATCAAACATTGACTCTCATACTATTGATACTAGACAGAGAGAAAATGTGTATCTACCTCAAGCCAATTTAACTATTTATCAGAAAGGAGTTCACTATGCGGGTATAAAGATATTTAATGAATTACCCACAGAGGTTAAGAATACCTCAAATAATTTTAAAAAGTTCAAGGTTGCATTAAGGAATTTTTTAATTACTCACTCGTTTTACACTGTGGATGAGTACTTAATTGGATAACTATTGTAATAAAAATACTAATTATATTGTCTTGAATTTAGTACGCTGCTTGTCTAGATGTAATTTTTTAATGTATGTATTTTATGTTTTTATACTTGAGTTTGTGACGTGTTCTATATCCACTATTGGATTCTTGGAACTTGTAAATAAATAAATAAAAAAAAAAATTTTGGTAATACTAACTCAGCATTTGTTTTGAGGGATTGAGTAGGAGGGAAACAGAATAATTTGTATCTTGGGCAGAATCTCTTGACCAATTATGATATTGTAAGAGGAATGGCATGTTTCTCGAGATTTCTGCTGTCTATATGCCAAATTTATTAATCCACATATGGGACCGCATGGCTCAGCCATAGATCAGGCAGTTAGTCACTGGCCTCTCACTGTGGAGGCCTGGGTTTGTGCCCATCCATGTGGGATTTGTGGTGGCCAAAGTGACACAGGCCCAGGTTTTCTCTGAAACCTTCCCTGTCAATACCATTCCACTGTGCCAAGCCAACAGAAAATTAGTCACAAACAGAATGTTTGATGTTAGTAACATTATCAACATTTTAAGTGTGTGTAAAGTAACATATGATGTGCAGTTCTGCTGTACTAAGAACATTGGGCAAAGTTGAGGTGTTAAACTAAGAACTACAGTGGATTCCGGTTAACTGGGACACATCAGGACTAGAACACTTTGGCCCACCTAAGTGGCTGCCCCAATTATGCGAAGTTCCACGTAAAGAGTTAAAAAGGTTTGTTCTTTAAGATTTGTCCCAAATAAATGGCTTAACTGATAGCCCAATTAACTGGAATCAAGTGTAAATGGATGTGAGTAGTCAGATTCACACTCAGCCACTCTATGCCCAGCACCAAATGGACAGGAAGCAGTGTGGACCTACAGAGCTGGTTTGCCTGTGATTATACAGAGGAAAAATATGTGCCCATGCCAAGAGCAAAAATCCAATTACTTTAGCAAAACATCAGAACAATTATAAATAAATGCATTACTGATATTCATAATATTTACAGACACTATTAGGTCCTGACATACAAAATGGTGTTCACAAATGATTTTAGCAGCTGCACTTACCAAAAGCAGCTACTCCAAAACCCATGTCAACAGCCCCCATACGATATGAACAAGTAGGCACCATTAATTCATGTACTAGCCCAACATTCAACTGGAAATTCCATACTGGGCCAGTGCTAGGTGGAAACACTTCTACAAATCTTTCTTCTCCAGTCTCTGCATTAGCAGATATGTGTAGGGACTTGTGGTCATGTGCAGTAAATATTGCATGAGGATGGATCTGGGTCACAACCTATTAAAAATGGAAAGACATAATTTAATACTAAGAATGAAGAACTTCATAAAAAGAGAACAGATTCAAAATTAAAATGTAATTTTTTTTAAAATGGTGATTACTTCTAATGGTAACTGAATGGTAAATGTCCTCCTGTATGTATAAATGGTAATATTACCTGTTGTACAAATGATGATGGCCGAAGGAGGAGCGGCAGATGACTAAATACTATACGTGTTCTGTTCCCTTGTAAATGCCTTGCATTTATTTCTAGTTTTGGAATTGTATATGCTAACCTATTAACCTGAAATAAAATGTGTAAGTAAAATAAAAAAAATTCAATGAAATTACATAACAAGAAATGCAAGTAAGAAAATACAATAACGGCTAATTTATAACATGACTTTACGCTTTAGTATGAACCACAGAAACCTAGATGCTTAAAAAAGGGAATGATCAATTTTAATTCATCCCATAAAATAAAAGAGCATGTCTCACAACCAACAAACCAATGAAAAATTAATTAATTTATAATATGGACATTGTCATCTTAACAATTCATAATCTGGAAAGGACAGCAGATGTGAGTTCAAACCAAATAAAAACAATAATTTCTTATTTTTTATTCCATATTTGTTATTGCTGATCCAACATATTTTCATTTATATCATTCAAATAATTAAAAATGTAAATAATCACAAATTCAGTCCAGGTCCAGGAGATGCAAATCCAAGTCCTACTAGGATTGCAAATTTTCATTGCAGTAACATAAATAATTTTGAAAGGTTACTGATAACCTTTCTACCTATCTCAATTCATTAATCCTTATTTCATGCAGGAACTGCAGCATTACAGATTTCTTTCTTACATTTCTTTAGAGACACCCATGACAATGATTTTCGTACTCTCTCCTTCATAACTAGGGAATTACATTGTCAAAAATCTGTCAGCTGTTGGCAATACATTGGGCTTTGTATCAATAATTTTTTATGTTCTATGTGGCTGTGAAGAAAAACATATAACAACTATTCATATCTTTATACACAATTAATCAAAGCTGTACTAAAGGAAGGTTTCACATCCTGGCAAATTCATCTTCAATTCTCCATATGGTTATGAGATTTGATGTTGGTGAAAATTTGGAATGTGATCTTTTGGGTTATGATGTTACCTACTCGTAATCCAGAAACCCACAATCCAACTGTTCTATAATTTTCCTTACCTGAACACATGCATACTAACAATGAATCATAAGACTTAACTAACTAACTAACTAACTAACTAGATGGCTTACCGAACCCGAAGGTTCATCACCGAATTAACCAAAGCCCTCCACCGGACCCTGTCCTGGGCCAACAAAATCCAGTCTCCTTCAACTCC